CACAAAGAAAAATATTTTGTTTATCGGTAACTTGTATTCAATAATTTTGCCATCAAAAAAATAGCTAAGAAATGATATAATACTTGATGCTTTTTTTGAACTTCTGTCCAAGGATACCGAATATTATGATCCAGACAAATTTGTTTTTCGAATATTCAAACTAATCGCTAGTTCATTAGCATTTTTCATACCATCTAGTGATGGTTATTAGTGGTTTCAACGGTGAGAAATGCGTATAGAACCTATAGAATATTTATACTGTTTTTTTCTTTAAAAACCCAATTATCCATGACTGACATCAAAAAAGGAATCTCGGAATTTGTCAATAACGTTATGTGTTGAAGTTTGTTTCGCGTCTAGATTGAATCATTTTCATTATGAATTATGTATTGGAAGATATAGTGCAAATGGTCTATGCTTTGGGGGAAATTGACGGAAACTGCCTCCTTGCATCTAGTCTTTACAAAGAGAAAATCCCCGAAAGAAGATAACGAGATGGAAAGACATTTCAGGCTCTAAAAACAAGATTTGAAAGAACTGGTAACGTCAATCACGAGAAGTTCGAACGTGTCTGCCCTGTAACAAATGAATATAATGCATTTCAAATTGATCTTCACAATGTTGAAAATGCTCGTGTGAGTATAGTCTATTCATTCCCAATTGAAACGGCAATAAAAATAAGAGTACAGTCATAAACATTTCTTGCATGTGGCCCCTAGTCGTCCAGATAGTTAGTAAACGTGCTATCAAATGTAGTTGAGGAATAAAGGCTCGGCTAGCTGGACTGGCTGAATACAAATTTTTTTGTCCGTTTCACAATATTTCTTTACCAGTGCCGTGTGTTCGTGGGGTTAGGTGAGGTAGTGAGTGGTTTTGCAAACCAATTTTTGTAAAACTTCTTCTAGAGATCAATTACCCTAACACCAAACTGATATTTTTGCACTCGACGCCCGTTTCGCTAACAAGATCAGAATCTTCAGGAGAAGCAAATTGATACTGAATCTAAAGACAAGGGTTAGCTGTTTATATACCTGAAGTTTTTTGATCCGATGTGGATGTTTGTTGAATGATGATTATCCCAATTGATTTTTCGGTAATTAACTAGTGGAACCACTACCTGCAAATTAATTTGTCCACTTTTTATTCTATTGTTGACAAATTAATTTGCAGGTAGTGGTTCCACTAGTTAATCACCGAAAAATCAATTAGGATAATCATCATTTAACAAATAAAGTCCACATCAGACCAAACAGCTAACCCTTGTCTTTAGATTCAGTATCAATTTGCTTCTCCTGAAGATGCCAACCTTGTTAGCAAAACGAGTGTCGAGTGCAAAAATATCTGTTTGGTGTTAGGGTAATTGATCTCTAGAAAAGTTTTCAACTTTTACACCAAAGTTTCTAATCTCATCGTTTAAACCGATTTTTGGGAAAATCTTAGTGTTTCTGGGTACTTTTATCAATATGGCTTCCTGGAGACCTTTTGAAACAAATGATAACATTACGTGTGAGGAATCTGTGTCAATCGACAGGGATCCGGAATTTGAAAATTCTGCGTTGAAACCATTATCATGACCTATCTGTGTAATTATATCAATTTCCCTAACTAGATTGTAAGCAGACAAAGACACAGATGAATTTCTTAGACCTGACCATTACACATAATCAGAATAAATGTATATAGAAAACCGAGCTATACTGACATTACAATCTCAAGTGATTCTTTCCATCCCAACAGTCATAAATTAGCAGCCTACCATTCAATGTTGCACGGAGCATTCTTGCTACCTTCAACTGCTAACAATCTTGTTAGGGAAATTGATATAATCACACAGATAGGTCATATAATAATCGTTTCAACGCAGATACTATCCAGAAGTTAGTCAGAAAACAAAGCCGTAAATTAATTTACAGACTAATATACCCTTCAGGTCAAACAACCGGGTAACTCTAACATATTTTGGAAGAACAGAGATAATTGCGGGTTTCTTGAGAAAAAACAATGCGGAAGAGGCATTCAGAACACATACCAGGTTCTGATTTCCTTTTGAATGCCAAAGATAAGGTGGACAAGTTGGAGAAATTTGGAGTTTATAAGCTTAAGTGTCCAAAGTATAATAGTGTTTATGTGGGACAATGTGGTCGAAATTTCCAAAAACGGTATGCTGAACATGAAAGGTCCTTCAGACTAGGAAAAAATTATTCGACGTTTTCAAACCATTCCTTGGCATGCAACCACAAGTTCCCGAATCTAAACGATACGGAAATTTTGCACTAAGCAAGGAAGGGTTACAAACTCAATTATTTAGAATCCTTGGGAATTCACAAGCATAAACATTGCGGGTGCAACCTGTTAAATGATCAAATTGATTTAGTTCACTCACGGGTTTTCAAATCGGGACATCCGCATTGTAAACTGTAAATTCAGGTACTCATTCAAGCCAAGTACCTCTGTTAGTACCTACAGGGATGGTATATAAGAGCTAATGTAATGAACCATTGTTAGTTCATTGTATAAGTTTGAAAATGTCCTTATAGGACGAAACTGCAGTAACGTTAATTACAAATAGAAGTGGTAAAGAACATTGAAAATAAGAAAAAAACAGCACCAGGGATGGATCCTTGAGGTATACCATAGCTTTTTCGATTACCTATATAAACATATTGTCTTCAATTATACAAATAATTTTGAAACCACTTGAGAAAATTACAATATAATATGGTCAACTGAATCGAAATCTTTGCATAAATCGAGGGCCAAGAGACAACATTTCTTATTTTTATCAATTTCCATTTGAATTTGTGACACTACATCCATTACCGCGCTCTCTGTGCCGCTAGATATGCTAGTTGCTTTTTCTAAAGGACTTTTTGCTTTCGTGTAATCCAATGTTCATGTGAAAATAATTCTTTTGAAGGGTTTCTCCTTTCAGTTTATATCTGGAAGAAACTTTTATGTATACAATACGCATATTTCCATAAAGAGTTCATATTATTTTAATTTTTTCTACCTTTTTCTAGAAGTTTCCCATATTTTTTGTTTAATGTAAAAGAGTGGAAAGCCAATAAGATTTTTTCTCAAAATTTCATTTCATTATATGTATATTATGTATTTGCGAAATTTAAACCCTATGAATTTCACATTTTTATGTAAGGATTGATGATTAGAGAAACGATGACAAATACCTCTTATTCGCTTTTACCAAGGTACTAATGAGTATTGTAAGAATTCAACAATTCAAGAAAAACTGTTTTTTGTACAACTGTCATCTAAAGTGACATGTGACAAATGGTTGTCAAGAGTATTAAAAGATGATGTTTACAAAGTAGCGATCTTTTTCGACTAAATATCAATAAATGAAACATAATTATTCAATTTTCAAGGAAGTTTTATTATGAACAATATATATAGATACAATCAAATTCTGTTACAAATGTATTATATACATTAATTACATTATTATTATTATTATTTATGAACATTTATATGAAAAGTACAATTAGAACAACTGCTGATATTGATTCCTTGCGATGTTGAAGAGCCCTGTATTATATTTGAACTAGCTGAGTTGACAATTTCATGGGCATTAACATTTAGTTCTTGAAGAAAAAGGACGATGCTGTAACGCTGGAGCTAGCTGTTGGGATTATTTTTTCAGCAATAGCCTTTTTATAGGAAATAGATTAATAGATGTCACCCTCAGCAACTGTTGTAGACTTTCGTCCTCTGTGCTTCTTAATATCCGTCATATTTGCTTCTGATTCTGCAAGCAAAGAAAAAGAAGACCATCTGAAACAGTGTCCTGTATATTCCCTTGGTTCCGGAAGGTTCAGAAACTCAGGATGGTAGAGGGCATTTTGCCAAACGTGTTTATACCAACTGAGTTGGCACTGCATTTATAATTTGAGTATTTCAGAAAAAAATGTTGATGATTGATGACAGAAGGGCGTAATGCAACGTATTTTTTAAAATAGTCAATGTTTATTCCAACATTGCAAAAAGAACGACCTATTTTCGTTTTTGTATTTAGAATTTGAACAATCAATGATTTATTCATTAATTTAATGTCTTCTATTGATAAATGACACAGCTCATCACGCCGGCAGGCTCCATATATTCCTTCCATTAAGCATTTTTCATCTGGCGCCTTAGTTATAAAGCTCTAAACTTGTTCAAACGTAAGAGTTTTTGATTTTTTGGGACTATAACTTTCATTTTTCCTCTTTAAGAATGCTATTACCTTGAAATATTTGCGAAAACTTGTTCCACAAAGTTGACGAGTTTCATATTTTTTATTTCTCTTTTAGATAGACTAAGAAGACAGGTGGTTACGCTGAAATTTGCTTCGACATTTTCAAGTCTACATCAGCTAAAAAAATTAGAATATGCGATGTCGTATTGCTGAACCGATTTCTTTGGTAACAATTCAATTGGAGCTCGTTTTGCAGCCTCTTCAATATCGTCATGAACACACAATTCCTCACTATTATTCTTCATTATGCAGGACATGAAACACCAGCAAGAACATTAAATATAAATTTAAATAAAACGCGTGAGCTATTTGTTGGTGACCAGGTGATTCGGCGTCACCTGACACGGCCACTTCACAGAAAATGTGATTACATGAAAATAGTTAACTGACAAGATATGTCAAAATGTGTTTTTATAGAAATATCGAATTTATCTATTTTATTATGTACAAAAAACTTTGTATAATATTTGTGTTAAAACTAAGTTTTATTTTGTTGGTAAAATTGCTCAACTCGCTACGCTCGTTTCGCTCACAAAATGTTCACTCACAAAATGAAACCTTACTTTTAGCACTCATATCATAAATAGGATAGCATTGATTTTTAGTTCTAGTCTTTGCAACAAAGTTCATTTTTTTCCATCTTTCAAATGACTATATATAAATATATTTTAAATGTTTTATTTTGGAGTAATCTTATTCCATGTTGTTTTTGAAATGTATCATTCCTTGTGCTCAAGATGAAACTCACCTAGAATTGCTAGCCGGTAGTTGAATGATACGAAAACCACATCTTTATCCATGATGTAAACTGGTCCAGCCATGTCTAAAGGGGAACCTATCATAAAAGCTCCTCCATGGATATGAACTATTACATCTAAACTTTCGTTTCCATGTATTTCCTTCAAGGGAACGTACACGTACATATAAAGGCAGTCTTCAGTACCTGAAAAATATATAATTCAAATATATTCAGTCTTGACATAGAAGATAATATTTAAAAAATATAAAAAAAAATAATGCACTGATTATTAAGAAAACACTTTGAACAGATTAAACTACTGCATACGAAATATTATTGAATTTTCAGTGGAATGAAATTTGCCAAACTCTTTTAAAAATACAATTTCAGTTCTATTTTTCTTGTTTATCTATAAAACTGTGTATCTAATACAGTTTGTATTACGAATGAAATAATCAAGTCACAAAATGAAAGTGATCCCAAAGTGAAAAAGCAAAAAAAAAATTAAAATAATCATGTATTATAAAATAAATTAAAAAATCGAAAGAAGATTGGCATATTGACCAATTTCATAATCACTTTATGGTCATACAGTTCCCGGTCAGAGCTACCTCAAAAAAGTTCGGACCAATACTGATATTTCCTCAGAATATTCGAATGCAAATCTTCTAACAACTCGACTAGAATCGACAATTACAATTACTCGACAATTACAATTCCCCATCTAGGACAGTCAAGCGGCGTTGCGTTGGGAGCTCTTGGCTCCTACCGAGCAACGTCTAAATTGGTAGCAAATTGCTAAAAACGAGTCTCCTCAATAGGAAGACTTAACAAATTGTCTCTGGTCTGGATTCCTGGCCATACTGACCTGGAAGGCAATGAGGCTATTGACTCCCTTGCTGCAAGCAGCTTCATCGGACCAGAACCTGTCATTGGCATCATTTCAGGCTTTGCCAAACAAAGATTGAACTCCTGGATGGCAAGAAGATTTATGAACTTTTGGCTGAATCTTCCAGGATTGGCTCACTCCAAGGCGTTTATTCACCCTTCGAAGCTTGATACTAAACAGTTGTTGGACTACAGTAGAGGTCTTCTTACATTTCAATGTCATTTGAATCATCATATGCAGAGACTCGGACTGTCGGAACACAGTGTGTGTCGCCTCTGTTTGGAAAATGATGGAACAGAAGAGCACATACTTTGTGCCTGCCCCGCTGGGGACCGAATCAGGTATTTAGAGTTCGGCAGGGCCGTACTCTTACCATCTGACCTGAAAAACCACTTACCATACAAACTTATCGGCTTCGTTAAGAAGCTGGGTTTATTTGATCGAGTGTGAATAGGTGTGAGCCACAATAAACCCTTGTGGGTTGCGGTGGAGGGTCGAATAAACCCAGTCACTTAGGACCTAACCTAACCTAGCCCCGTCAAAGATGTCTCGAAAAAGTAGGGACCTTTAATCTTGGTGTCAAGCACACTAAGTCAAACATTAACTCCAAATCGTACTTGGACATTTGTATGAAGGAAATTTCTTATCGCCATTGATAATGGATATTTCTTTCAAACCATCCGTTATTTGTGAATCTACTCTCATCACACCATAAAATTTTATTTCAGTTTCTTTTTCCTGACAATGTTGTCTGAGTAGCCATCTACAAAATGTTTTTCTCCTATCGTAGTCTATCAAACGCAAATGGTAGGTTCGTCTGACTTTGTAAGGTCTAAACTTATTTCTATATTATTTCTTAACTTACTCAAAACGCCAACTTCAGTATCGCCAACTTTTTCAGTTACTGTACAACTCTCACTCGAGGGTTTTTCAATTGAACCATGGTTCTGTGAACTACTCTCAATGCGTTAAAAATATCTTTTCTCATACAAATATAGAGATTCAGCAGCATTTCTCCAATATCTCGCGATAGAAAACTTCATAGTTTTCCTCTCAAAAATTCACACGAATCGAATGATTATTATTTACGTACTTGACAGTAAATTCGACAGTCATGGCTCACGTTAAACAAATCAATTCATTTCATTACTCTCGTAATTATTGCTCCACAATTTTTTTGCCATAAAACATCAGAAACAAATATTTATGTTTGTAACAAATATAACAGTATTGACAATTCTCTGCCTTTTTTCATATCATTCGAAATGGTGGCGGTAGAGCCAAAAAAAGAAGTTCGACAATTCTAATTTTTGACGAATATTTCAGGAACAACCACTGATATCCCCGATCTGAAAGGAGATTATTCTAGTTTTCCAAAATAGTAAACTTTTGTCCGTTTTAACCGACCTTGTTGGTCTTACCGTTTCCGAGATAGAAATAGTGGGATTAGCTATAAAAACGGCCTGTATATTTCAGCAATATTTCTACTTTACAGAATAATTTCGTCGTATCAGTCGTTGCTGATACTTCCTCCAGGAATTTTACGCATATCACGTATCACTGAAGATGTCTGCCTTAGTTGCAGATAAAACGTTTGGTACTACAAGTTTCATTCGACCTTGGCCACCAGCCCCGATTGCATTCTCTCTAATCCGGCTCTTATAATGAATTTAAATTTTGTATATTTCGGTATGAACATTATCTTTTGAGATTGATAAAAATATGACAATCCCTCCGATTTTCAATGTTTTCTTAATATTCTACATGTACAACAAATACAGCTGAATGTCCATTGTAATCTGTAGAATATTTGGATATGATTTCCAATTCTGATCAACTTACCTGTTATCATTACTCTCACTGTTTATTTTTATTTATTCGATAAAACGATATTACTCACCTTTTATGCCATACATAAAAGGAATCGCTACAAAACACATACACCTGTACGTATGGTTAGCTATGAGGACACCATGCCATTTTTCTGCAGGTTGTGGTTCCTGCAACCAATGACAGAATTTTAGTTTCGAAACAAATTTGATATTATTTTTCGACGGCCTACGTGTAATTGCACATTATTCCACTTTATTCTTTTTCATCTGTAGATGAAAGTCATGAAAATACTTGAAAAAAGATGTGAAGGATGTCGATATATATATGTACCGGGCAGGCGGTCCTCGATTGAAGACAAAATGTAAAAAACCAGAAAAGTACTTGATAAAAATAGCTGCGTAAACGCAAGCGAAACATAAATGGAACCACCTATTGGTGTGACACCCAAATCAACTTGACAAGTTTTTATGTCAGTGTTGGTGGTTTGACCAAAACAGCTGGACGAAACGGACTGGTTTAAGTTTGACGATAGTCGTGTCATTAAGTGTTCTGGCGATGCCTTGAATTTATTGGAGCCTCTGAACACACCCTACATTTTGTTTTATGAGAGAGAAGATATTGACAGATCAAGATCTTCAGATGATGTGGTGCTGCAGATTTTTCCGGGTTTTCCTGCAGCTGAAAAAGCAAATGCGCCACTGAAATCAATGAAGTCGCCCCGGAGCGCCAATTAATTTTTGTTGTTGTTTTATAATTTCATGATTTTTATTTTGGAAGTGTTGCTGAAACAAAAAATAAGCAATCTGAATTTCAAGATTTCTGACATATCACTGAATGCAAAGTTTAATTTCTTTTTATATTAGCTATAGACAACAGATGCATTGGTTCACAAAATGTTAAAAAAATCAATTTTTTCAAATGAAAAAATAAAGTACCATGCAACGATTGTTCCTCTGCAATAATGTAACTATTCGCCTCTGCACAATAAAGTTTGAAAAATTAGTGTAATCTAGCTTGAATAGTAAAATAATTTCCCAGAATTGAAATGATCCAATTGATAAAAAACTTACAGCAAATCTAAGGTCATCTATAGGTGGTTTGCCGTAAGGAATACCCTCAAATGCTGTATATTCTCTTCCTCCGTAAGATGTCCGAAATGCACCCTGCACAGATCCTTGTGGAATAGTTACAATAGGTCCATCTTCTCCAGTTACATATCCTATGAGAACTGAAAAATGGCATAAAATCAGGGAACTAGTTTTTTTTAGATGACGCTGTTGTTAAAATTTAGTGAAAAGAATTGTAGTAGAATACTTTCTACATCAATATTATGGAATCTATAGTCATATCGAAATTACAAAGTTCTCAATACAACTGAAAGCATTCACAACTGAAAAATTAAAAATTGATTATTTCCAAGAGTGATGGATCAATGTTCGTGAACGAAGTTCAGGAACATCATACAGGGCGAGTCAACAATATTCCCTCAGTCCATTGCTATCAGAGGAAACAATTTTTTGAAATGCCCAAATATTTTTTGCAGTCTTATCGATAAATACTATTTTCTTGAATTATTTTCTCGCATACTGGGTGATTCAGCCGAGCGTGGCCAACCAAAGTTATATTTTTTAAATAGAACACCCAGTATATGAATACGTCATTCGATTCCATATTTTTTTAGCTCTCTAAAGAATTTTTGTTTTCGAATTTCCATTGCAGCATTGCCAAGTTATTCGAGAAAAATCTATTTTGCAGACAATATTTTTTTAATTCACCACCCGTATGTCTACAGCAATAAAATTGATTTTTTTAGGAATAGTTGGTCAACATCAGTATGATAATTTCTGGACTCTCAACTTTCGGAAACAATATATAGGGTGATTTGAAAGAACTGGTAACGTCAATCACGAGAAGTTCGAACGTGTCTGCCCTGTAACAAATGAATATAATGCATTTCAAATTGATCTTCACAATGTTGAAAATGCTCGTGTGAGTATAGTCTATTCATTCCCAATTGAAACGGCAATAAAAATAAGAGTACAGTCATAAACATTTCTTGCATGTGGCCCCTAGTCGTCCAGATAGTTAGTAAACGTGCTATCAAATGTAGTTGAGGAATAAAGGCTCGGCTAGCTGGACTGGCTGAATACAATTTTTTTGTACGTTTCACAATATTTCTTTACCAGTGCCGTGTGTTCGTGGGGTTAGGTGAGGTAGTGAGTGGTTTTGCAAACCGATTTTTGTAAAACTCCTTCTAGAGATCAATTACCCTAACACCAAACTGATATTTTTGCACTCGACGCCCGTTTCGCTAACAAGATCAGAATCTTCAGGAGAAGCAAATGGATACTGAATCTAAAGACAAGGGTTAGCTGTTTATATACCTGAAGTTTTTTGATCGGATGTGGACTTTGTTTGTTGAATGATGATTATCCCAATTCATTTTTTGGTAATTAACTAGTAGAACCACTACCTGCAAATTAATTTGTCAACAATAGAATAAAAAGCGGACAAATT